AAATCTATTTTAAAATAGTATCATTCGATTTTTTTATTTTTCTATTTTTAAGTTATGATAAATAAAAAATTTGAATGAAACATCCACTTTTCACTATCATCTTTCATTTTCTGATTATCTCTTATTGGTCTTGTTTTTTAGAGTGGTCAAATGACTTACCATTCATCATAATGAATGTTATTAATCAAAATCAATCAATTAATCAAAAGAAATGATTTATGATGAATAAAAAGATAACAAGAAATGATAATAATAAATAATGTGATTTATTGTCAAATAATCATTTCAAATGATATAACAACAACAATGTAATCACGTTGTTGATTAAAACTAATTATTTCATAAGATGATTACATTCTAAACATATTCCTGATGATTTTAAACATGTTGAATGATAACTATGACCACATCCAAATACATTGATTAATTCATCCTTTTCTTTATGACAAACAACACATTCTTTTGTTGTAATAATTCCTTTTTTTAATTCTTTGTTATGTTGTTGTATTGTTTGGTTTAGTTGTTCATTTGAAATCATTTGAAGTGTTTTGTACATTGTTAATTTCGATTGGCTTTGTTTGATTAAATCACTTAACACCATTCTTAATAAAACTCCTTCTGTGATTTTACAACAAAATTCAATTCCTTCTTTTATTGGTATATTTGAAATTTCTATTTCAACTATTTCTCGATACACTTTCTTGTATTCTTCATAACATTCATTTCTTCTCTTCATTATTTCATTACATCTCTTCATCACTTCAACACATTCTTCATTTCTAGTTATATCTCTTAATCGAAATGTTTCACTTACTTCTTTGAGATCTTCCATAATTCCTTCATACATTTTAGTTATTTCTTCTTCCTTTTCTTTTCTTTCTTCTTCGTTTTGATTTTGATTTTGTTTGTCTATTTCATTTAAACATGTGATACTTCTGCTTTGAAGATTTCTAAAACATTCTTTAATTTCTCCTTTCTTTCTTCTAATCATCAATATTGTTCTTTCATCTTTATATTTCAATGCCAGTTCAATAACTTTATCCATATCACATGTTTTTCTATCGATGATTTGTCGTATTTCTGTGGTGTCTTTCTTCATTTCATAACAACTCTCAATCACTTTCATAACAATACATCTCATATTTCTTTGAATGATTGGATTTACTTCATTCATCATTATTCTTCCATACTCATAAATGATTTCATATGGTGTGTTTGGTTGAACTAAACAATATAATCCACAACTTGCAAAATATTTAACTCCAATATTCATTGTTTTCTTTATATCCATTTCATACATTTTTTTTGTGAATTTTTTAACTGTTTTCTCAATACTTTCTCGTTCTAATCCTTTTCGTATCCATCTTTCTATCTCATTCCATACATCTCCTTTTTGGATAATAACCATTGTCATTAACGCATCACGTGCTGTTTCATTTTCATTTAATCTCCGTAATATTTTCTTATTATTAACTGTGAATGCTGCTTTAACTATTTTATCTATTTCTTTTCCACTTCTTTCTTTAACACATTCTTTAATTCCTTCATTACACATTTCTTCATCTTCTTTATTGTAATCTTTTGATGTTAAAACATTAAATATAGCTTCTTTCATTCCTCGTTCTCCATATTTCATTCTAATCAGTTCTCGTGCTGCACTTTCTTTAACTTCTGTGATTGGACTTTTCATTGTTTCTATTAATCCTTCAATAACTTCTTTCTTCTCTCCAATATCTCTCAACACATCTATTGTTTTGTCTTTACAAATAATAATTCCTGCTTCAATTAATGTCATTCCATATGTATTATTAAATACTATCTTAATTATTTCTTTATCATCTCCTTCTGCATTACATCTTTCTGCATTTGTGATAAGCATTTCAATATTGTTCTTCATGCTTTCTTCAATTAAACTTGTTGGTGTGATTCCATGTTTGAGAATGTTATGTGAAACAATGCGAAATGCTTCAATTGTCTTTTTCCCTAATGACCTATACATTGTGAAAATAGTAGAATATCTTGAATATTCAATACATATACTGATCACAGATGCAATATCTAATATATTTGAATAACATCCTATTATTCTTTCACTTATTGTACTATCTTTATTTTTCAATCCCATCACAAATATTTCCCATGCATTTTTCTTATTTATTTCAATTTTCTTTCCTTTCTCATTTATTTCTGAAATTATTTTATTCATTATTATTTCTTTTTGTTCATCAGGAGTGGATTCAATTAATGTATCAACACATTCTAATTCTTTTGCATATTCCCAACAATCTTTTCCTTCTTTTGCCATTTTACTTATGATTTCTTTTCCTTTTCTTTTCATTGTTCCTTTTCTTTCAATGCATATCTTTATTTGTTCTTCTTCATTTTCTATCTCATCTATCATTTCTTCTTCTGTTGGAATGTCTATACTTTTGAATCTATTCATTGTGAGTATTACTATCATTTTATCATTATTCTGAATTTCTTCTATTGGTGTATTATTTATTATTTCTTTCTCTCTATTCCCTTGATTAACTTTAATTTGATTATTATATTGTGTTAAAATGATTGTATCACAGCAAATAATAGATATTGGTGATTTAACTTTGATTTCTTTAATTATTTCAATACTAAATTTCCCTTCATCAAATCTTTCTTCATACAAACTTATTGTGTTATTATGTAATATACAAAGATGTGGGAGTGTTTCCTTCTTTTCAATTTGAAGAATAGGTGTTGATGAAATACTTTGGATTTTTTTATACAGATAATATTCTGTTGGTGGACATGTGAATGGTGGAATACAACTCTGATATTTTGATTCATTTCTATTCATTTTCTCATCATTTAAATCACATAACCATAAAAATACTGATTTACTTGTTGCTAACATAAATTGTCCGACTTCTTTTGTTTTTGCTGTGACATGTGTTAAACATGAATTTGATAATACATCAACATGTCCTCGTTGTCCAA